TTGCCCTCCGCCCCCGCGATTGCGTTGTCGTTGCTCGAGTCTTGTGGCACAGCTAGGGCCGGATGGTTGAGAATCTTGTAAGGAGAAAATTTACTGGCCGCTTCCCCGGAATGCAGATCCGACAGTCCTTCTTTGTCCCCCCCGGTGAGTACAATAGTGTGGTAGAACCCAGCCGCAACCTGGCACGACGGTAAGAAGTGCATCGTTGGGATTAATTTAGGTTACTCTCCTAGATGCAATATAATACAGACCTTGGTCGAGATACTCCTCGCTGGCGTGTCCTGCAGAGGTGCGGACAGAAACTCCCGGGCCGAAAGGAACAGAAAGCCATCAAAGACCTCTTGGCTGCGTGAAAACGAGGCGAAGGCAAAGAGTATCAATATACGTACAAAAAACAAAAACAACCGACGGCTCAGGAGCACTTTAACTGAAACAAACTGTTGCGAGCTGGCACCTTTTCTGAGGCTGCTATTCAAGTTCCAACGGTGCACTTTATTGGCCTTTGAATCTTCACCTTGGCTATGCGTTTCCCGACAAACGTGCTGACTGGAAACGGAGAGTGCCTCTCGTTTGTGTCTCCGGTACCAAGCTGTCCGTGATGATTGCGACCAAAAACGAAGAGCATACCATCGGCCCCAATAAGGACGGTGTGATAACACCCGGCCGAAATTCTATAGATGTGTTTTCCCTGAGCGCCTTCGATGATGGTTGGCCCGAACACTCTTTGTGTAGTGTGACCAAGCCCCAGCTGTCCGTAGTCGTTTCGGCCGAACCCAAAGACATGCTCCTCAGCCGTGAGAACGATCGTGTGATAGTACCCGCAGCGTACATGCCAGACTTGGGCGCCATCGAGCTTTCCTTTCACCGTCACGAACTTTCTCTGGGACTCTGTAGATTCCAGCCCGAGCTGCCCGTAGTCGTTCTTTCCGCATGACTGCACCCCGATCTCTAACGTGCTGACTGCCGTGTGGTACTGACCGCATGCGAGGGTCGTGATTCTCTGGCCACGTAAGGATTCCACAAGGCATGGCAATTTGCGGTCGACAACGTCGCCAGAGCCCAGCTGACCAAAGTCGTTTCTTCCAAAGGTGTACACCTGCATGTGCAATAGCGCAGCAGATTTGTCTGAGTGTAGTCAACACAGCACTGTGACCCTTACCCTAGAAACAACCTTGTTATCAACAATATTGTCGCGCTCTTCCTATGGGTGTTACACGCAAGAAACCCCGGAAGAAAGTATCGATTTCCGGCTTGCGTTGAGAAGGAGAGAGCCTCGTTGTATTGACAAAACATCCTTTCTTGAAAAATATGCTATTCTAAATATGCTAGACTGAATACTGCTCCTAATGACAAGCAAGAAGAGGCACCACACGCTACAACCCTATGATCGGTCTCTGGATCAGTCCATGTCTTTCAAGATGTGGTACTCCTAAACAGAACTTCTGCTTCTCGCATCCAAACTACGCGGTACCCACAAAACGATCGTGGTTTATCACCTCTCCGTTGTCGCACGCGATGACGCTGTGATAGTAACTACAGGAGGCTTGCGTCACCCTTATTCCGTTCAGACCCCGAACGGGCTTTGGCACCGGCTCACTGGAGGTGTTGCCCTGCCCCAGCTGCCCTCGGTAGTTGTATCCGAACGACATCATCTGGCCGTCATCCAGCACCACTAGCGTGTGCTCACAACCGTTGTACGCGTGTACCTAAACGTCGGATGAGGGTAGTTCGATGGCAGTTTTCAACTATATGGCAGGCGTTACGGCGGCAAGGCGACCGCCGGTGCGTCTTCCGTAGTAGTGGTTGATGTGCAGCGCGGCACGAGGCGCATCGTTCAACTTGTCGTGGGTGTAGAAGGGTGCTTGTGAGGCGAGAATTCGACTGACTCGTATCTATGCGGCCCCAAGCAAATCAGGAAGAGCGCCATGTGGGGTGGGCCAGAGGGCGTGAATCCCCCGTGGTTCAGGGAATAAACCACAGCCTTTGGAACTGCTACGTGCTGGTTCGAACCTCTCCGGAGCAGAAGCTCATTTGTCTTGCATGGTTTTCGCCCCCGGTTATACTTCTATCCCAAACCCTCGTGATGTAAGGTCCCTGTACGGTGGGTAGGTGCTAGGTTGGTGCACGTGGCTAAACGTTGGCTGCGCCGCGGCGGGACGTTTCGCGAAACGCGTGAGACGTCACTAGAACCCCCGGATCTTGCCAACGTGGTATACTTCACCACGTGTGCACAAGCGATATAACACTGTTGGTGATAGGACGTGGCGGTTTTCGACTGTAATAGGGAAAGACCCTGAAACACGTATCGTATTGGTGGGGTACGTGTTGTCTCACCTGTACGGCTTTCCTCCCCCCATCAATAGGCACGCGTGTGAGCACTCCAACCCTCTGGGTCGTGCCTTGCCCGCACTGGCCATTGTCATTGTAGCCGGCGGTGTACACTTCCCCCGTGCTGCAGAGGAGGACGGTGTGCTCATTTCCTGGGTATGTCGGCAGTTATCAAAGACAAGATTTACCCGGTACCAACGGCCGTCATCATTCGGTGATTGCAACGAAAAGCTTAGAATTTACACGAAATATCAAACCGAGAATTGGACAGCTAAAATTAATAGAACAAGCGCGACTTTCCCAGCTCGGAGGGCCAAAGAAAGCGGACACCTCAGACGAAAAACCATGGTGTATCTCAGACGACGGTTTACCTGCAGCGACGTCCACCACCTCCCTGCCCTCAAACGGTTTCACCAAGCAGTGAGTCTTTCGCGTCCCCGTGTCACTGTGCCCAAGTTCACCATACGAGTTTTGGCCACACGTCCACACCTCTCGCTCGTGAAATGAGCTACACGCTCTCAAGCACGAACCTCCGCTCGGCGTCGCTGCGTGGAGTTGACGAAGAAAAGGCAGGATGCAATCGGCTTGAATGCCGTCTGTTTCACCGTCGACCAACCTGGTAGTGGCCGAAGGTGACTCGAGGACGCTGTCTTGGTTGCTAACGTGTTCGACCTTTGCCCACGGTTGTTCGTCGACGTGAAGTGTGGTTTTGATTCGTTCCCCTCGGCTTTTCCACACCTTGATCGGCTGAGACTCTCGTGATTTCGTGCCATCGATGTCGCTTTCTTTTGTGGGATAAGCTCGAGATGCGTTCTTTTTCTTCCATGAATTGCCCTTTTCAATCCCACCTAGCGTAGGCTCGGCCGGACCGACCGCAACAGAGACGGCGGGATTCACAATCAGCATCGACTCGTGCTCTCCTTCGTCGACATCGTCGTCGTCATCCACCGGAAGTCCTTGGCGGGACGTTCGTGTCTTCACCCGTGACGTTGGGCGTCTGGTACAACGGGAATGGAGGAAATGAGGAGCGGTTGACAAGACATATATCTAGTCTGGCGACGTCACAGTGTTGTTGATGAAGTGTTCGATGAGAACTCGATAACTAAATCTCTCTGGCCACTGTATACCGGCAAATATCAGCACATGACTGATATTTTCTCCGTGTACTTACCGTTTCGCGCTGCATTCTGCCGCTGCATGCTCTTCCCTCAACTCTGCCGCTCCTGGAAGACCTTTGTATTCGCTCTCATCGTCCAACATTTCAACGCCTGCCACCCTTTGAAACGGAATGCTGAGCAATAGCTTCACGAGCGTCAACAAGTCGCTCGCCCGGCCGCGTGCAGCCACGAGACCGATCATAGCTGACAATGCTCCGTGTTTCCGCTCTGCGCCAGACGCCCCAGCTTCTCTACCAGAGTAATGGGCTCGTTCGCCCTTTGCATGCAAAATTTCATCATCACGTTGACCTGGGAGAGCAAGCATTGCGAGAAACCCTCTAATTGAATCGACGACACCGGCGCTGGGCCCGGGAATCCGTTGATGTAGGTGTTTCGGCAGTCCTGAGCAACCATCAGCCAAGCAAAGAGGCGGAAGCTTAGCCAGAACTGGAGAAATCTGTCCCAGGAAGTCTGTGAGTTGTTCCTGCCCACATTCTGGGTCGCGCACGAAATCAAGCATAGCGAAGAATAGCTGGAGCCCCAGGACGTCATCGCCAGAAGCTGGAGAAGAAGCTTCGCTCGAGCTCTCCTGGGCTACGACGCGATGTTGAGGTTCGGCGGTGCGGTCTCCACGATTCCCAGCAAACTGTGTCCGCCGTTGACGGCTCATGGCGGCGTGGACGCAATGCAAGACGTGCAATCGCTGCGTCACCGCTCGATAGAAAGGATCATCTTGGGAACACAAGCACGACAAGGTCTTGAATAACTTGTTCTTGACCCTTGACACGAGCAGCACCATCTCCTCCCTTCGAAGGGCAGACATCGACAAGCAGAGGCTTGCTGCCAACCAGTCGTCTTCTTCTTCGCTAAGCCCTTCAGCACTCGGGCCAAACTGAGATGGTCGCGGGGGCTGGCTCTCTCCCGCCATGCCCTCTCTCAGTCGCTCGTTGGACATATGGCTGAAGTCTCCTCCTCCTTTCCCAGCAAGTCCAGCCCCAGAGCCAACGAGCCTGGACAGGTTCATATTGCGCCAAACTTCATCTTGATAAGCCGGCGGGAGTGACCACGGTGCCTTTCCTTCATTCTGTGGCTGGGTGGGTTGCCGCGAGCCGCTGGAGCTTGCTGCTCCCATCCTAACCTCCTCACGGCATGCAAGCTTGCAGGGGGGGCATTGTCACCCTCCAACGTTGAATCGCACGCCTTGATGCGTTTGTCGCCTTATCTGCCACACGACATGCACACGAAGGAGCCGGCGCAGACGCGTGGTTGCTTGCTCAGATGTGTACTGAGGTGCCCCAAAATTCTTGGCGTGCAGCAGAAAAAGAACATGTACACACCTGAAACATGCAACGCGCTGGCTAGATAGACTGTTGGTTCGGCCGCTGTTGGCCGTTTTTGCCCGAAGGGAAACCTTTTGTTATCTTTTATTTTTTGGAACCCTTTTTCTCCTTGAGCAATATTCTCTGCGAAGTCCCCGGTCGTGCCTTGCTTTGCTGGCGTCCCTCACTTGGTTGGTGCTTGAAGGCAAGACACCACGGCAGTGCCTCGTTTATCCGCATTTCTATCGAAAGGGTGATGAGCTGTGCTATGCGCTCGCTTTTTGCTGTGGCCGCAATGCTCGCGGCTAACGAAGCATGTGCCTTCGTACAACCTGCGGGCCTCACATCCTTGGCCGGCCGATCAGTCGCCGCGCCTGCTTGCACTTCGGTCGAACGGAGCTCCAGGCGGTGGGACAAAGCTCAGCAACTGGACGCGGGTAATGGAGACGGTGGAAGTTCTGGCGAGCAGGTGCGATTGAATGTAATGCCTGTATCGTGAGAGACGGAAGGGGCTTGGATCATGACCACGTGTGTAGGTCTTATCACCTGTGCGACATGCTATCTGTACGTGTGGGGCCGCGAGCTACTTCCACCACCCTCGTACATACCCTCCTTGTGCCCGGGTTCGTGCTACACCCTAGGACCAGCGTTGTCTACTACATGCGGATTTTCTCTCAGAACACCCCGGGTCTCTGACGTGCTAACTGTTCTTGTATTCTCCCTCGTGGTGAACTACAGTACTCCTGTTTACCGCCCTCTCGACGTGCAGCACGTGTTGCCTCTCTTTTTCTAGAAAATGCCTCTCTTGTCGACCGCGGTGATCGCTACTGCTCTACATACACGGGGGTAGATCTTGGGCGATGCCTTTTGTTGTGTAGGTTGAGAATAGCCGTTGTGTACTCGCCATCGAGCTCGGCGGCTACTACTTTACTGGACACACCCTTCTTCAATAACAGAGTTGCAATGCCCGCTGTTTCTGTCTGTTGTTACTGCTGTCGCATTTCAGTGTAAAACCTGCCAAAACATGCGCATCATGGATGCAAGCCAAAAAGCGATCTTGAGCGCAGCGAGACACAGGTGCTCTGCTGTGCTTGACGGGACCTGGTTCAAGATGGTTGTAACTCCATGTTCTGAACAGAGGTGGCTTTCTTGTGATCCATCCCCCCCCCCCTCCATGCAAACCCGTCTTGATGCATCCGCCCTTGTTGGAAATCAAAAAGCCTGCTGGTCCTTTCTCATCGTGGGTGAAGAAGACGGCGGGCCGATTTGGACGAGGGCCTTTCTCTCGTGCGGCGAAGAAGGACGAGGTTGACGACCTGCTCAACTCAGACGCGTTCCTCAACAAGAAGGTGGAGATGCTTCGGAAGCAAATCAATGCGACCCAGGCGGACATCGTCACCGCTCAGGCGCAGGCAGACGAGCAGTGGGCAGAGTGGGGCCCACAGGTAAAAGTCAGGCCAACCAGCGGAATGTTCCTCGTTGTTCATATTTGGTAGCGATGCGGTACAACCTGCCGTGCGACAGGGACCTCCCTCCTCGTTGTGCGCGGGGCTTGTGATCGAATTTGAGACTCCCTATATCTGGTGTGCGGGAAATAGAGAGGTCTTGCGCTTCGAGTGAGTGATATGGGTTGGTGATTATTTCAGTTATCCCATCCCAAAACCGAGACGTGGTTACAAGCCAGGCTGAAAATTGTTATTTAGTGAGAAATAACGTGTGCACCGATATCCTGAAAGTAGTGCGAACTCGAACGATGAAATGTTGCTATCATACATACAAATAGAGAAGTAGAGTTCGTCGCCTTCCAACGGAAACATCGTGATTGTCCTAACCGTAGCCGCTGAACTCATGGTGTGACGCCCCCCCTTGACACGGCCCCACGATGAACAGGTGCAGCGGCTTGAGAAAGAATTTTCCGCTCTCAAAGGCCGAGGAGGTGAGGCTCGCACCCAGGCCTACAACAAGGGCAAAGCTGAGGCCATCAACAACATCCTAGGGGTAGCGGACAACTTCGAGCGCGCGGCAGGGGCAATCAGCGCGGAGACGGATGGCGAGCGAGCCGTGGTAGCGTATTACAAGGATGCCTACGACAACATGATGAAGTGCCTGGAGGGGCTCGACCTTGTCGAAGTGGACACGGTGAGATGGGGATTAGGGCGAGGGAACGGAGAGAGGGGGCCTTGCCAGGCTTCGTCAACCACCCTCGTCCACGAATTTTTGCTTTGGATGGGTAGATTGGCGAGACTGCACGGCTACCTGTAATTTTGGTTGGTGGTCGAGAGAACAAAGCCGTACCCAATAATAACATTACACTTTTGAATCACCCGATAAAGCCGCTTGCTTGGAAATATATAATTTCGCACGTATATGTTGCCATCATGGCACGTCATGTCAATTGTTCAACCAAATATCGGTAAAGGTGCGCCATACGTAGCCGTAGGACTTTCGAGAGTGCACGCCGCTTCAAGTAGCACTCGTGTGTTGTTACGGGCATCTCCTCCTTGCGACTGCAACACTTACTAGTCATGAATCGTTACTTGCCATTGATGGGAGCACCTCCGGCTATGTTGGTTTCACCACCCCCATGTACCGTTCATGACACCGTCCTAACATTTTAACATGTGTGAACCGAAACGCACGGCAGATTGGGGCACCTTTCGACTACAACATCCACAACGCCATTATGCGCGAGAACACCGACGAGTTCCCCGAAGACGTTGTTTGCAAGGTGAGCACAGCTTGACGGGTCATCCTCACACGCCCTTGTACCTTGTCTCGTTCCTTGACTGCGAGTATGGCAAAGTGTGTTCCCGAATCGAGCAGGTGGTTCATCTAGACAACAGTCACGTTGTCGGCAGCTATTCGCCTGTACCCCTATCTTGCGTCTAACGTGAATGTGTGTCAACAGCAGTGGTAGAAATCGCCACCATGGGTTGCCGACCGACCTCCGTGAACCTCCATCGTTGCGTGAGTCACCGCGCCCGCGAATTTTCTCTCAATTCTTCCTCCTGCGTGCTAAATGTACGTCGATCGCGTTTCCTTCGTCAACACTATACCAACCCTGTACAGGTCTTCCAGAAGGGCTACCAAGTCGGAGATACGCTGGTGCGACCGGCCATGGTAGCGGTAGCGGTACCCCCATAAATCGGTTGCTGTTCGGTTCTGCTGGATCCACACGATCCCAAAATAGGGTTAACAATACACAGGCTGCGTGGCTGGAAGAGTGGGTGTTTGTTCATTATCGCAAGTGGGTTGGTACTCTTGAGGGCGTCGCGAGACCGTGCTAGGAATCAATTCCTGCAACAGCAGTCCGGGCCCTCTGTACAGGTGAAAGCAGAGAGAGCCTGCGAATAGGCATACGCCCCTTCCGTCCATGTTCTAGCCACGTGCTCCACCTACACTCGTGTGCTCGTGGTGCGATGTGCACTTCGAGGGCGGATTCGAAAGGCGTCTACGCATTGTCGACTGAGTGCGTGGACCCTTCAGCATTAGCTTGGCAAACGTTTGAGCAATTTTGGTGCTGTAGAGCGGGAGAGTCCGACGCTTGCACTCTGTTCTTCGATAGTGCAGCCAAACCACGGACAGGCTAATGAGCCCAAAATCGGAGTATGAGAATCTTCAAAACGTTCTCGTCCTCACACCCATACAATTGTACAGATTAACTACAAGAGGCCTGAATTTCGATAGAAACACGGAAAGTGTCTCTCCACTGACACCACATCCCGTTGGCGCAAACAGTTCCTGACCCTACCATCCCTACAGAACTTCTACCAAGTTTTTCCCCAAAGCCGAGAAGATGCTTGTAACATCAAGCTCCGATTTCACCGATATAAATGTTCTTGTCCGAGCCGCAGGAGCCAATGATGCTCTCCGTTGGGTGGAAGGTCATCTGCAGGTTGGACGGACGAGTGGGCGACAGACACCAGGGGCGAATCAGCACACCCTATCGCTTGCGGGAAAACTGCCATCTATCAAACCTTGCGTATCGAATTAGCACACAAGGGTTTAATGAGAGCGACATCATCGACCCGTCCGTGGCGTAACGCCTCTCTGAAACAGGTTCCCAACGCTTTTTTCATCTAGTGGCGTACCGCAAGCCGGGAACTTCCGATCAGCCGCGAGCGTTGGAAGAAGAGGCAAAATCCCTATTATTTCAATCACAGTTTTGCTCGCACACGAGTGAAGCAAGGCAAACACAGCGCACACCAGGAGGGACAAAGACTCGACTAAATACAGCAGTAGGGATGATGTTGCAGGCGATCGTTGTCGACAGCTGAGAGTACTTATCCGGTTTCAGGCGACCGCCTCACCTCGTTCACCGAGCCCGTGTGGCCAGGCAAGAAGTAGAGCTCCTGTGTCGATGGTTCATCCCAGATATGCACCGCCTGGTCTGAAGACCCAGCCGAAACCATCTCCCCGTCCGGTGACCATGCACACTTGAGCAGGTTCTTTTCCCCTCCATGCTGCAAAAAAGGGTCGTACACATCCTGGGGGTTGAGACTTGTAGACTGAATCTCAAGAATGCTTTAAGGGATGGGGATCGCAATCACGGTTGCCAACAAGTTGCCCAAAACCTGTGCGAAAACAAGGGCAGTGGTCGGCGACCTCTCCGCAATCTCATTACTAATTTCGGTTCGACTCTACACGAAGACTCCAAAGAGGGCACAGTACTAGAAACATTCCATCGACAAAGAACTACAATGCAGCGACGATCGACACGATACGTTTCCTAAAACCTCTACACACAGCATTGCGGCAAAACCCAAACTTCCAAGGAGGTGGCATTCCCTGTCACCTTGATGCCGTGAAATGTCTTCTCTAGGCGGTTCTGGTTGACAAATGGTCGGACGTCCCACATGATGACGCTGTTGTCCATGGAGTTGGACAAAACATGATTCCCATCCGGGCTAAGCGCGAGGCCTAGAACAACGCGACGGGTACACGGCAAGGAGAGCGTCGAACGTGATGCTTCAACCACACCATACAAAACCAAAGTCAAGCTGATAACAATGCGCACTCAATTCGCGCGATTGTGGCTTGGACAAGCAAGATTCAAACTCAAGGGGAGTGCACCTCGACGGCACGCTTCGGGTTTCTGCGTTAATAGAACGCACACGCTACCAACCGTTCTCTACCCACCCACGTACCGGTAACCGTGTCGGTGTGTCCGGTCATGGTGTAGGCGATGTCCAGTTTTCGTACATCGAAAACCTTGATCTCGTTGTCGATCCCTCCGCTCATGACCTGCTGGTCGTCCCTCGACAAGCACACCGCCGTCACCTGGTACTGGTTCATGAACTCCGCCACCGATCGCCTCACCCTCGGGTCCCAGAGCTTGACGAAGCCGTCGTCGGAGGCAGAGGCCACGAGATTCCCCGTGCGAGAAATGGAACAGCTGTTAACTACTCCCGTGTGCCCCTGTGCATTGTCAATTCATCACAGACGCATGGCACACGAGCAACAGCAGAGTAGCCAGCGGGAGGTTGATTGTGCACCGAAGCTATGAAACTCGAGCGTTGCGAGCGAGCAAAACCGCGTCGGCAGGGTGAGGATAACAAGGTTGCGAGTAACATTGCCCGTGGCGTCCGAGGAGCTTCCAGATCACCACATCTGGTATCTGAACAGGTTGTTGGAAAAGGTTACGGGTATGCCATTTACCCCTTTGGGTCTAGGCTAGTCGCCGGCCGAAAGCGTGGTCCGCCATCCCCATGTTTCGTTTCGATTCATATTTTTTTCTTCTGGAACCAAAAAAAAAAGGAGGGGTGAGAGCGAGACGGATAGAGCGAGAAGTGCAGAGAAAGTCTCTGTTGTACTTCTCCTCACGCCACAGCTATCTCCACCTGTAGGCCATTAGGGTAGCCCGCGACAGGATGTTGACCGAAGACAGGGCCATAAAAGTGTTGGTGGGTGGTCGTGGTGCAGCCGGTAGGGCAGGTTAGGCTTGCTCACCTTGAAATGATCAGTCGTCGACCTGCCTAAACAACTTTATTTTCAGTATATCCAAATGATCAATGAAA